GCAGCAGGAGTACCTGCAGCACAGGAACTCCAGAGTCCGCGAGGAAGTGGTCAACATCTGCATCGTGGCTCTCCTCACTCACCCCAGCCAGGAGCTGGACTTGGCCAGGCTGGCGTTCGGGCTGGCTCCGGCGCTGGTGGACAGCAAGCGCAGGGTCCGACACGCCGCCTTGGAGGCGTTTGCTGTGCTGGCATCTTCCATGGGCCCTGGAGAAACCACCCTCCTCTTCCAGGCGGTGGATGCTGTAGAACTGGAGGAGAACGGGGATGGGGTGATGCACGCCGTGCAGGCCAGGCTGGCCAGGAAGACCTTGCCAAAGCTGGTAGCCCATGGGTTTGTGGAGTACGCTGTGCCCTTGCCATCATCTGGTCATACCAGAGGGTCCTGTTTGCCCCCCGGAGCAGACACAGACTGGTTGCTGATGGGCAGCAGGACTCAGAGTGCACACAGTTACTGTGGGTATCACCCTGGGGACGATGCTCTGCAGAACTCCAGCTCACACGGGGATCAAGGAGTAACTCCAAGGAGAGTCCTGAGCGCGGGCAAGGGGAAAAACAAACTGCCCTGGGAACAGGAGCGTGCTGGAGAGGGGGACGGTGGCTCGGGAGTCAGCATGCTTCTCACAAGGGGTGTGGAGCAGGTATGTACGTGCAGCTCACTGGGCTCCTTTGCTCTCCTGTGTGTTTGGGGAGGTTAAAACCTCCTCAAAGGGAGGTTTGAAAGTTGTCAGAGGCTTATTAAGTGATTAATTAGATGGTGTTTGTGAGGTGCAGCCAACGCTGCTGATGTTTCATGTGCCAGGATCTCTGTGTGTACCTGGATCTGGGAAGGCAGATTTCAGAACTCCTTATGTCAGATTTGACACTCGGAGCAACCAGACAACTTATCACTTACAAAAAAACCCCAACAAATCACCAAACCAAAACCCACAAAACAAACAAAAAAACCCCAAACACACACACAAAAAAACCCCAAACCTCAACTTTTTTTGAAGTTAGCTGGACTCTGTGAGGCACTTTTTGCCTCTAACCCTGGTGACCCGTCTCTGGCAAGGGCTGGCTGGAACCCTGGGAGTGGGGTTCCAGGAGTGGGGAGGGTTTCAGAGCTCGTTTGTGGTGCTGTGTTTGAGAGCAGAGCACCTGACTGACTGCAGAGAGTTTCCCAAATACAGCAGCTGCTGTATTCCTTCAGCCCAGGCTGTGGGGGCTGAGCTGGTGCTCTTTGGCAGGGTGCTGACCTGGATAAAACCTGGGAGCTGCCAAATGTCTCTGTGGCTCTTGTTCCTCAGTCTGAACTGACGGGAGCAATGTGGGTCAGGCTGCAGCAGCAATTCTGATTGACCCAGGTTTTGATTTTACCACGTGCTGACCACGATGGCAGCTGCAAAGGGACTTGGGGATAATTGTTGAGGTCCCTTTTGTGTTGGTTCTGTCCTGTTCTGTGACATCTGGTTTGGATTCCATCCCTGTGTATCTGTCTGTGTGTGGTGGGCTTTCAGTTATCTTTAAACTGGAGGGGTTTAATTTCTCCTAACTTGATCTCCAGCAAGTGAGTTTAAACAAGAGAATCTGTTCAGAAAATGGAAAGCTGTGTAGCACAGACTTCCTCACTGCCACAAAAATCTAGTTCTTAATTGCTTAGTAACTCGTTCCTGTACCAGATGAGGTCATGAACGGTGCTGCTTTGTGAAGGCTAGCTTTTAATAAAGGCTCTCAATTAAAAAAAGAGGTTAATTGACATCATTGTGGTGTAAAAGCCTTGAGGTTCAGGTCTGTACTTGCGTGCACACGTGCTCACGCCCTTCCTTGGTGTAGGTATAACCTCTGTTCAGACTCCTGAAGGGATCCCTGTCTTTTTGAGTTGAGGAATCAGGCAACTAAGTTCCCTTGGGTTATTAACTAAGTTCCCTTGGGTTATCTACTAATTAACTAAGTTCTCTTGGGTTATCAACTAAGTAACTAAGTTCCCTTGGGTTATCTACACAGCAGATAGGGTCTGGACAACAAGCTATGTGAGAAACACCTCCAGAGCAAGGAAGTTTTTCTTCTTGAAACAACTTTTTGGGATTAACTGCTACAACCTGTATAAATAAGAGTTAATTCCCTAGGCAGATTGGGTTGAGTTCTGTACTGCTCTCTTGTTTGCTGTTGGCTGGGTTTGTGTTTCTCTGCAGACCATGGACAGAAAGCAAGCCAAGGCAGGCAGCAAAACCTGGCTGTGCTTGGGGTGGTGGGAGGTTCTCAGCCCTCCCTCGAGGTCACGGTTGGGTGCTGTGGAGGTTTAATTGTTTTTCACCTTTTTGTACATGTGTTTGTATTTATCCCTGTAAACTGGGAGGAGTGCCCAGAGTTCCCAGCCCTGGAGAGAGGGAGAGAAAGCGATTAATTTATGGTTTCTGTTTTGCTGCATGTGTATGAACTTCAGTTTGACCTGGGGAAGCAGCTACACGGTCACGGCTTCAAGTCAGTCCTAACGAGGTGCTCGGTGTGCTAGGGAACATCCGTGGCACTGTTGTGATAGAAGTTTTTTTAGACTATATGTATTTTTATATGTGTAGTGTGAACTTCATGGGCACAAATCCTGTTTTATAATCCTGGGATGAAAACCACCCGAACTGCTGTGCATGGGGAGTGCTCGGTGCGTGTGCGGGGGGTCTGGGGTTGGTTTGGAGAGTTGTTATTCTCCAAGGTGGGCACATCAGCAGCAGCCTGGAGGAAGCTCTGATGCAGGAGAGCGAATCCCTCCTGTGTGTGACAGTGAAAAACAGACCTTCAGGTGGACTTCCTACACCTGACAGCCACTTGGCTCATCTCTTCCTCATCCCAGCGTTTGTCTGTGTGGCTGAATCGCTGTGGGAGGACAAGGGCTTCTGCTTCTCTCTGTGGAAGGCTTTTCCAGTTACAGAGCATCATGCACATACTGCAGGTTTAAACTAACATTTTCAATTTGTGATTGCCTTTATTCTTACATCCTTGGGTATTATTATACCAAACACTTCACTTTGTTCCTACTACCACCAAACACTTCACTTTGTTCCTGCTCATGAACAGCTGTAGAGCTGCTATTTGTGCCCTCTCTTTCTGCAGCATTAGAACAGTGTCAGTTTCAGGCTTTATTTGGTAAGAGCCTGGTTCTGAGCAGGAGCTGCTTGTGACCATCAGCCCAGGTTACTTTCTCAAACCTCTCTGCTGCTGTGCAGGGACTCAAGCTGTGAAGTTAACCCGTCTTACTTTGGTTCCACTGCTGCCATGTGCTGTGCAGTAGATGGCAATGAAAATAGTACAAGGGGAGAAAATCCTGTTTGTCACCTGCTGTATTTAGAATCTCAGACTGGTTTGGGTTGGGAGGGACCTTAAAGCTCATCCAGTCCCATCCCCCCTACCATCAGCAGGGACACCTTCCACTAGACCAGGTTGCTCAAAGCCTCATCCAACCTGGCCTTCAACACTTTTATTCCTATTTATTCCTTGAACACTATTTATTCCTTTTTAAATAAGAACTAATTGTTTTTGCACCTAATGACTGTTTTTCTGAGACATATCCCGTGCCTGCTAGAGGTTCTGTTCGTTGCTGTTTCTTCCCTCTGCTTTCTGCCTTGTTCTGTTTGCCTCTCACTTCCACTTTGTGTTGTTTTCTTGCATCTCTAAGTCAGTAGAAAGCAGATGGGTAACTCTGAGGTGTCAGGATTTGAAGACTTCCATCAGTTGCACTCCACCAAAGGAAACATGTTCATGCTTCTTGTGCACTTGTACTTGAAAGACATCTGAGTAACCAGAAACCTTCAGTTCACTAGGATTCCTTTTCCACTGAAGTTTAACTCCTCCCCACGTAGCTTTTTGCTGATGTGCAGGTAGGTACTGACAGGAATAACACCTGATGTCAGGTGTGATAGAGATTGAAAGCTGCCAGTTTTGACTTGGCTGTGGACGACCCAGGACGGATCTGACGGCTGCAGCACCAGCTTGTTTTAGTGCTGTGGGTTCACCTGCTGTGAGCGATGTCAGAAGCGCTGCTTATGTCCTTGCAAAGAGACACCTGAAGCTGGTACAGAACAGCAGCTGATTTTTGTGATCAGTGGTTTGAAACGTTTGTTTCAGCCCGTGGGGAAATGCAAGCTGTTTCTTTGCCAGCAGGCAGTTAGAGGAGCGTGCTCCTGGCAGGCATTAGGTTTTACAGTTCCCTTTCAACTGGTTTTTGGGAGCTGTGGTTTTACAAATCCCTGTGGATTAACAGCTGCCCACCTACCAAGTTCTTTCAAGACATATTAAGTCAAGTGTGAGCTGGACCTGGCTGGAGGAGTAGCTTTGCCTCTCTCATACCAATTTAGTTCTCTTACACTGCTGTAACCATCGTGCATTTCTCTCCCATAGCATTTGTTGAACTGGTGCTGGTGGCACTTGCTTGTCCCTCAGAAATAGTGGTGGCACTTGGTTCTTCAGCTGTCTTGGGGACATCTTATTATCTGTGGTTTTTGGTGATTTTTGGTGCAGTATTTGCTGGCTTCTTGGTGGTGCTTGTTTTGTGATGTCTGTGCCACAAACCTGCTCTTATCCCACGGTGTGTATATATCTTCAGTGCAAGTGGGTGAACTGTGTTCTCACTTAAGGCACACTGGGACCAGTAAACCTGGACAGTGTTCCTCTACTTGAAGACATTCCTTGTTAACTGAGAGAGATTGCCATAAGCTGTATAAATAAAGCTCTTTTCCTTGAGGCATTTAACAACCAAAATAGGAGGGAGAAAGAAAGTTAGCCCTGTATCTCTTCTTAACTGTTTTCAGGAGGTATGTCATGCGTAAAATATGGGTAGCTGACTTCTTCATGTAAACATAAAAAATCAATTATTAATTCAGACATTCCTTTGAAATGTATTTGTTTAACAATTAACTTTTGGAGTCATTCTCTGGCTGAAAGGATGCATTAAACGAGCTTAATGTTTAAAGTTGTTTTTCTACCAGTATTTTTAGGGTCATGTTACACAGTGATTGTCCAAGGCCGTGTCTAGACTTTCCTGATCGGATAAGATGTGAAGTGAAACACGTGTAAGTTAATGTGTGCTTTATCTACCTTCTGTTTTTAGCACATTGCCTTCAAGGGTTTGTGTAACTGCAGCTCCTGCCCGTGATGCTAACTGGGGTTATTGATGAAACCTTTCTCTGTAGCCCTTGAAGTCCTTTGATTTTCTTTCATACCCACCTGTAACCTGACAGTGTCGCGGGGCTCCGAAGGGGGATCTGACCACACTGACAAACATCCCCAAGGGTGTCTGTCCTGTGCAGTGTGTTTCTGTGCAGCACAAAGTCCAGCTGTGTCTGTGGGGACAGGGGTGTCAGCCACCTCGAGCAGTGGAGGCATCACCACCTAACGATGGTTGGCTCAGTACTAGAGAGGCAAGCTCAGGGTTCATAGAATCACAGACTGGTTTGCGTTGGAAGAGACCTGAAAGCTCATCCAGTCCCAACCCCCCTGCCAGCAGCAGGGACACCTTCCACTAGACCAGGTTGCTCAAAGCCTCATCCAACCTGGCCGCGAACACTTCCAGGGAGGAGCAGCCACAGCTTTTCTGGCCAACCTGGGACACTGTCTCACCACCCTCACACCAAAGAATTTATTCCTCATCTCCATCTCCCCTCTGCCACTT